GGACCAGGGCATGAACCCGCGTCCCCTGCATCGGCAGGCGGACTCTCAACCACTGCGCCACCAGGGAAGCCCAATTTATTGATATTTTATTTAGAGTTTCATATCTATGTTCAATAGCAACACTGGCCTATTTTATTTTCTTGTACTTCCCTTGTCAGGTTTTGATATCCAGGTGTTACTCCAGCCTTGTAAAATGGCTGGTGAGCATCTCATCCTTTGAAATAGTTTGTATACCACAGGAATTTTCTGTCCCTTAAAGGTTTGCTAAAATTTGTCCGAGATTTCACAGACAACCCTCTGGGCCTGCTGTTCTTCATTGGGAGGATATCTGTGGCTATTAATTCGGTTCTTTTTTTTTTGGCTGTTTTGGGTCTTCGTTGCTGCGCAGTCTTTCTTTAGCTGTGGCGAGCGGGGGGCGGGGAGGCACCCTTGTTGCAGTGCACGGGATCCTCATTGCGGTGGCTTCACTTGTTGCAGAGCGCAGGCTCAGTAGTTGTGGCGCACAGGCTTAGTTGCTCCGCGGCATGTGGGATCTTCCTGGACCAGGCCTCAAACCCGTGTGCCCTGCATTGGCAGGTGGATTCTTAACCTTTGCACCACCAGGGAAGTCCCCCAATTCAGTTCTTTAATGGTGAATGTTTAGGTTTTCTACTCATTGAGTTACTTTTGGGAATTTATGGGTTTTTTCTATAAAATTATCCATCAAATGCATTGATGTAAAGTTGTTTTTGGTATTCTCTTAAGACTTCATTTCTATTTGTAGTCGTGTCCCTTCCTTCACTGTGGAAATAGTATCTGTTTGTATCTTTTCTCTGTTTTCCTTAGTTAGCCCTTGCTGGGGGTTTAGTTTATTAATCTTTTCAAAGAGATAGCTTTTCGTTTTGTCTATTACCTCTATCTTTTATTTATTTTTGCTTTCTACTTCACTAGCTTATTCTTGCCTTTTTTATTTCTTTCCTTCTATTTTCTTTGGTTTTTTTTTTTCCTACTATTCTTTTCCTGACATCCTGACCTGCATGCTTACACACTGAATCTTTCCTCTTTTTTACAAATGCATATAAAACTATACATCTCGGGCTTCCCTGGTGGCGCAGTGGTTGAGAGTCTGCCTGCCGATGCAGGGGACGCGGGTTCGTGTCCCGGTCTGGGAAGATCCCACATGCCGCGGAGCGGCTGGGCCCGTGAGCCATGGCCGCTGGGCCTGCGTGTCCGGAGCCTGTGCTCCACAACGGGAGAGGCCACAACAGTGAGAGGCCCGCGTACCGCAAAAAAAAAAAAAAAAACAAAAAAAAAACTATACATCTCTCCCTAAGTACCACTTTAATTGCATCCCACACATTGATAGGTAGTATTTTCATTGTCACTTAGTTCTAAATATTTTGTCAGTTTTTTGCGATTTCCCCTTCAGCACCTGAGTTATTTTAAAGGGTTTTCTTTATTGTTTTAACTTTCCAAATTTATGAGTTTTATCTTTCAGTATTTTCACTGTTGATTTCTAGTTTAATTTTTGTATATTCAGGGAACATACCCTATATAGTAATTATTTGAAATTTGCTGACTTGATACATGGACTTTTTTTTCACGTTCCATCTGAGCTTGAAAAAGAATGTATTTTTTTCTCTTTTGTTGAGTTCAAGAATGTATGTTACAAGATCAAATTTGTTAACTGTGTTGTTGGTCCATTGGCATCTGAGAGATATTGGTCCATTGGCATCTGAGAGATGTTACTGAAATCTCCCACTATGAGGATTTCTCTGCTTCTTATATTCCTATCACTTTTTGCCTTTTTAAATTCAAGACTATGCTACTAAATACAAGTTCATGACTGTTAGATCTTCCAGGTGGACTGTTCTTTGATCATCATGTAGGCTGAGGCCTCTGAGGGGTCCAGTAAAGGGCATCCTTCTCTGCCCAAGTTATGAACAAATACAGAAAAGAGAAATTAATTGTAATTTGGGAATTAAAATAACTCCTTTGGCACTGATAAAGGTGAAGAGGAAGCACATGAGCTTTACTGTGAAGGTGCAGTGGGTCTTCTGACTACACCCCAGAGTTACCCACACCCACAGGCAGTGCTGGGCAGGGGCAAGCCTCCTCTCGTGGGGTCTGCTCAGGTGGGACTTACAGTACAGGGAGCAGGGGGAATGCCCTGAGGGCAGCTAGCTCCAAGAGGGAA